AATTTTCTCAGGGGGGCGGCAATCCAGCCAGGGCCCCGGCCCCCCTATGGCTATGCCTGTGCATGAGTGTAACTCCCACTATTGTAGATCGACATACCCGTATGAAAAACTAAATCCCATGATTACAGAAAGATTACTTTATACTGACAAGAAAGCTACCAACTCTTTTGTGAATAATTTGTGTCTTCTTAGGAAAACTCGTACTTGTCGCAACCAACAAGAAATGTCATGGGGGCTCAATGAAATTTGTATTTTGATGCAATGGCTGTTGGAAGGAGGAGATCTGCTACAGGAGCAGCCAGTTGGCTTTGAAGTCCAGACGCCAGTTGGTGTGGTCATGGCTATGCTAGTTATCGTAAAACACTAGGCAGGGGTCTTGGGTTGGATGTCCTTTCAGAAAAGCCTTTTTTAGAAGTTATTAAATGTGCCTTCCCTTTTATAAAAGCCATATTAGATGAGATATGTGATGCTGCAAAGCAGCAAATGAAAGATATCTCGTCAGATGTTTTGGGTTCCTGGTCTCGTGCTGTCACCACATGTGATGGTTGTTGGCAGATCAGGGGCTATTTCAGTCAAAATTGCACTTTCATTATAAAAAACTATCTGACTGGTGGCCTTCTTTACTATGGCCATCTGTCCATGAGAGGTGCAGATAAAATTTGTGATGAGGAGTTCTGGCAGGGCACAGCGAAGGCTGCTGAGGGTCACTTGGCTCAGGTCCTGTGGTCCAAAGCAAAGGATGAAGATTTGAAGGTGGAAGTAAACTTGCAGGATGCAGACTCCTCATCTGCGTTAGGTTTCAGATATTCTTTCCCTCATGAATTAGAGTCAAAAGTTATGTTGTGTGGGGGGCATGTGGGAAGGGCCAATGGTAAGAAACTCCAGGAGCTTCAAAGCAAATCGACTGTTACTACCCAGTTCATTGCCCTTCACAAAGAGCAGTTCCCTAATATACAATCGGTGAAGTGCTGTTGTGCTGGCAAAAAGCATAGAAATATTTGTCTCTAAAAAAGACAAACCTGCATGTGGTTGTATCGGTCCTGGTTTTATCCAGAGTGCCAAGAGAAACCATTACTGTGTTCTTGTTCAGGCTAATAATGACCCTGAGAAATACAGGGTAACCATGCTCACACTTGGAAAGTACCACAGCAGGGACATACATTCATGGGAGGAGTGTTCGTTTCATCCGTTAGTAAAATGTAGTTGTAAAAAATGTGATGTAGATTTAAATGGGTTTTGTCCAGAAATGAAATGGTCTGGGGAAGCATACCACTCTGCTCATGTCCTGAAGTGTGACTTTCATGGACTCCTATATGAGATTGAGTGTGCTAACAGAGCCAAAGATGCAGAGAAGGTTATAGACCCAAACTTAGGTAAGGGTCATTCTAACCTTCCTGGTCGTTTAGTGTCTTGACTAAGTTTAGGGCTAAGGACACCAATTTACATCAGACACACTACCAGGCATGTACCAACCTTGGCTTGCTACAATTATGTATGACCTGGTGCTACAAAGTAAAAGGACCAGAGTACCACTGGATATTAGAGCTATACTCCAGGATGGGATTACCCATTAGTGATGGAATTCAAGAAATGATATGCATTGTAAATATGTATAGTACTTGGGGACCGATCGTTTATTACTTCTCTGGGGTGTTAAAAAACATATATCAACAAAATATGCCCCTATATTTTTTGTAAATGAAAAAATGACCCCCTGTAACTTGTTCAACTATATAGATTAAAAATATACCACCACCACCCTTTTCCCCTCCAAATTGTCAGGTCTGGTGATGAGGTGCTAGTATCTGACTGCATGGATTGACTGCAATCATTCGGTAGCGGTGGCACTAAGAACTAGATGGCACATCTTGTTTTAAAAAATTGCTATTATTTCTGGAATTATGTTGTATTTATCTTTCTTTTTTTAAATTCAAACTGGTAGATATATTTTGAATATTCATTTTAATGTCATTTTAATTTGTAAGATTCGTTCACAATTTTAAAATTTAACCCCCTTCTTTCCCTTTAGCAAAATAAAAACTACCCCCCCTAAAATCGCCATATTTAAAAAATTAACCCCCTCCCCCCTCAAAAACCACCGCCCCCCCTAAGACGTAATAAACAATTGGTCCCTTATGCTTATTTTGATTTCCATATAATAATCCAGAAAGTTTCAATAATTTTTCTGAATTTGTACCAATATTTATCTAGTAGAAGACATTGACATGTTTTTATGTCAACTTTAAACTTTTGCAGTGCCAACGAAAACAAAAAGGATAAAAACAAAGATTGATCGTACAGAAGATCAGAAGCTAAGGTGTGTTTCTTATTCCTGATTAGCATACTTGTAGCAGCATAAAGAATGTATGACCTATTTCGGTATATGGTACATTTTGTAACACACATCCACTTGACTTTATCACAGGAAGAAATATACTGCAAAATGCCAGATACAGCATTCCTATGTTGGTGATGACGATGATGACATCGACGAAGAGTTGGCCAAGGCTATGACAGAATGCTATTAAAGAAGGAAATGCACCCCAAGTCGTCCTACCTAATGGTGTAGTGAGAACACCTTTGGGTGCAAAAATATTTATTGGTGGAAAGAAATGTAAATGGTGTGGCAGCGCAACAATGTGAGAAAAAGCCATAAGGACTGCCCGCACAATTCCAAAAAGCAAAAAGCATGAACCAAAAAGCTTGCATGTAGTTGTAGACCAAGTTGGTTTGGTAAAAGAGTTACAACAATCCAAGAATTGTTTCAAATGGTGAAAGAAACGGGGGTTTGCGTTGCAATTGGCGAGAAAGCTACGGCACAAGAAATGGAAAGAGGCACAGATGAGCATCCTCAAGGACGACAAACCGTTTTCAATGCACAAGAGGAACAAAGTCAAAGAAGCACCGATGAGAATCGTCAAGGAGAACAAAGCGAACCAACCAATACGATGTCGCCAGAACATCTGGATTTATTCGACACCTTGGTGTTGGTGCATTTCCTCGACGTGTTAGAAATTTATGCTGAAGTGTTTGGTACTTGTCGAGGGTGATGTTCATATATACAATGTAAAAGACTTATAAACCGGGAACATTGTGAAAAATACACAACTTAGTGGCAGGAATTGAACCTACGCCCCTGTGATTCCGGTGCAGTGCTCTTCACCTCTAAGCTACGGAGTAGTTGCCGTAAATGCTGCACACTTTTGTAAATAATGAAATGTGGTACTATAATAATCTTACAATGACAACACTATGTAAATAAACCTTGAACTGTATATATTTTGGTCCCATTGTTGCACTAACTCACACAAAGAACTACAACAGGCAATTGATTATTATACTTCAAATTTTCATACTCACATGATTAATACTCAGGGCTTGGTGGCCTCTGGAGGGTCATGTACTCTCTTATCAATTCCTCCAGAGATACCTCATAAAATATTTTTCTCTGCAGAAGAATAATTACATAACTGTTAGACATTGAACACGTTTGACACAGCTGAGTATCAATCAAAAAATAAATATTTTCAATCTGTTGAATCAAATAAACCTAGTGTACTGTAAAAGCAATGAAATAGTGCACTAAATGTTTGAAATGCTAAATAGTTATAAGCCCTAAGATTAAGGTTGATTTACACAAGAAAGATCAGTAAAAAACCTAGCGAATAGGAATATAAAAAAAATAAATGGCATTCCTATGCTTACTTTGCCACCAGCTCTTGGCGGGTAATTCCGGATGCCATCAGGGTAATATGCCCTGATTACATCCAGTAGCTCTTGAGGGTAAACGAGCGATGCCCCATTACCCACTCCTCTTTTTCTCTAAAAATTTTTACACTTGGCACTTTGCCGACGCCACTTGCTTGATCTGACCATAGACCTGACTAAAAACCAAATCAGGTAACAAACGCGACATACAACAACAATTTACATACACTACTTGCTGATAAGAAATCGAAGAGCGATTTATAAATACAGTGCCTCGATTCTGAATCGTTGCGCTGGCTGTTGTTGCGGATCAGATGAACCAATGATCCAGGTATTATATCTCCGCTGTATAAGAAAAAGAATGCTTAGAATATATTTCAAACACAAAGAAACTAAATGGATTCAAAAACACTTAGCCTTACGTCTCTTCGCGCACCGCTTCTTCCAAGCGGCGCATCGTGATCCTTTGGCGGTTTTTGTTTTCTGAGTTTAATAAGAACAAGCATTATGTTTTTGTGCTATCATCAATTGTTTCTGTGAAAACGCTAAAAGCGAGAACCACTCAATTATTACGTACCTGCTATGATCAGATGAAAAAAAGCTTTGTCTTTGTGGAGAGCTTTGAATGCCTTTGATCAATGACTTTCGCTGTCAATAGCCCACAACAAATGCGCAAAATGAGACGAAAATGCCGCATATCATATCACAACAACGATTGCGAAGGTGTAAAATTCTGTCAAAACTCGCTGTAGGAGAGCGAACGCTAACACATTGTATTTCAGCCTAAACTCCAGTTTTGGCGCGAATTTCATCCTTAGATACGAATGTTTGATCGCGAAAATCTCAGTAAGAATAAAACGCATCACTGTAAAATTCAGCATGGGAACTTGTTTTTACTATATCTACCAACTGACCAAAAACCGTAGAAATTGGAGAGATCGACTTGAGACTCTGGTACTACCTTAAGGTTTTCCATTGCCATCAGAGTGTTAAAACATAGACATGAACTAAAGACATACTTGCGAGCATTGACACCCTTGCCAATGTTGTTACAGTTTAACTTTTACTCATTCACTTAATGCTCACTTCCATTGTTTTTATAGACATTGCATAATGTGGGTAAGAGCTGTTTGGAAGGAAGGTGATGCAGAAGAAGAAGTAGTTATCCCAAGCAATTGGGTTCAGCAAGAAACTGTGTGATGGCCTAACACCTTGAATGTTTTGAAACCATTGAAAAAGAAGAGACCCATCCTTAGAAAACTGGTATTGCTTTCCACTAGTAAAGATCAAAATTCAATCAGGTTTGTGTTGCATTATATTTTACGTTATTATACTAATGATAAATGTGTGTCATCCCGAGTGATGAAACTGATGTCACCTCAACCCTCGTATAATAAACAGCGTACATATATTGAATTTTTGATAGATGACAATCTTGTATGTGATGATTGTGATTTCATGTCAACGGCAGAAACAAGTGGTGGGGAAGAATTAGTTCCAAAAAAAAGCTATCCACATAAAGAGACAACCTCATGCTCACATTTTCGTAAGTTTGATATGCGTCTTGTATGTTAAGCCATATACGCGAGCGGAACTTAATGCATATTACCACCATTTGTAAATTTAGTAGTTGTTTCAGAATACTAAGTTGTCCTGTGTACATTTATTACTATTTATTGGGTCAGGTTATTAATTTAACCAGCATCGTCATTTTTGAAATCCTATATAAATATACCATTAGTCCATTACCCAATATTTCTGAGACAAACTGTAATAATAATTTGTTCTCCAGTTTTGCCACCGCCTCGAAACGTGCCACCGCCGTGCCAAGGAAAAAAAAACTGCGCCAGGAAAAAACAAACTATCTCTGAGAAAGTCTGCTATGGCAGGAAAAAGTAACATACAAAAGCAACAGAATCCAATAAGAAGCGAAACGTCAGAATCCAGGTCTCGATCACTGTTGTTGCCCAAGTCACTGATACGACCGTTAAGCGGATCACACAGCAGATCACGATTACCCGGCAGATCGCCAACACCACCTTCAATGAGACAGTCACACAGATCGCCAACGCCACCTTCTATGAGACAGTCACCCAGATCACCAACGCCACCTTCAATGAGACAGTCACCCAGATCGCCAACGGCACCTTCAAGGAGACAAACACACAAATCGCCAATGCCACCTTCAAGGAGACAATCACACAGATCGCCAACCCCATCGTCGAGTTCGTTTGAGTCCCTGGGTGTTAGACAAAACGAATCCTCAAGAAAAAGAACAGCAGCAAGCCAACAGTCAATACTGGAATCATTGTCCTCAATCGATACGGAAAAAGATAGCGAAAGATCCACGTCCTCAAACAAATTTCCAATGCCTGAAGGACGTAAGTATGCTCGAAATATGACTGTAAAAGAATTTAGCAATATCCTTCTCAAATTCATTAATAATTCATGAGCAATTCAGCCAATGATAATCACCTACTTGATCACAAGATGCCATTTGGATAACCCGGTGAAACTTGATGAAAGTCACTAGTGTTTTCATCAAATATCTTAATTACGCATGCAAAATTACTTGAATAGAATTCCTAATTACGTTTTGCTTGGTTAAGAATTCTATTCAAATCAGCAAGCAAAAACATTGTAATACGTCTCGATTCATTTGAGAAGCCATATAAACAACTCGAGCTTGTGTCTCACTGGGATATCCAAACACTGTATGAAAACAATGTTTTCATACAGTGTGTGGATATCCTGGTGAAACACTTGCTCTCGTTGTTCATGTATTACATCTTGGTTGGTTGATATGTTTTCCAATATTTGGCTGTTGACATATTTGAACAAAATGAGGTTTCAAAGTGAGATTCGATTATTAGGTACCATAAGATCTTTAAGATTATGTAAAAAAATTGGTTCTCCGTCGGAGAATTACTTTAAAGGATGGAAAACATATTTTTAGAATTAAAGGTCAACGTGGACGTAGCTAAATAAGATCATAGTTAATAGAATAGATGGTTTGGAAACTGGAGGAAAATGCAATATAACTTGTTATCTATGTTATTGTTAAGGTTTATCTATTAACTATGATAAGATTAAATAAGTAAAAATCTTTTGGGGCATGGTGTTAACAGTATTGTGTCTATTATGTGTCAAGGTGTTTAATTTATTGTTCTTCGCCTGCTGATGGAAATCTGTGACAATCTAAAACAGGTGGGGAAAAGGTGTGAATCCAACAAATCGGATTTCCACCCTGGCCAAGCTTCCACCTTGGAAGAAATTAAAATGATGGAAGAATCACTAGCTGATGATGAAATGAGAAAACTGCTGGTACGAACTTATTGTAACACACACTTTGCTACAGACTGATTGGACTTGTTGCAGTAAATGTATTTTTGTGTTATATTTATCTAATGGTTCTTTGATTAATGATATAGACCTCGCATTTTGGAAAGGTTGGCGGTTCGTCGATTAAAGACTATGTCTGGGGCATAATGACAAGGCATACAAAAACTTTAGTGGCCTGCCTGAGGCATCGCTTCACCTAGTAAATTCCAATTTTCTATTCCAAAGGCGAACCACATGTACCTGTTTTTTTCTTTTAATTCCTGAAGTTATGATAAAGATCAACAAAGTTGTACATTTAAAGGGAAATGATTTTAAATTTAATTAAGTTAACTTACTTATAATGAGTGATTAAATTACTCTCAGTACAACCCAGGACATCTCTACATGAAAGGCCTGTAAATATAATGCACTGTCAAAAATGTCAAAACTAGCACTGTCAAATTCTGCTACTGTATATTTATCAAACAGGAAAGCTTTTTTGGCCATCGGGTCTATATAATTGTTTTCCCAAAAGAAATGAAATGATGAAATTTTGACATTAAAATGTAGTGCTCATGTACACCCCTGTATTTCTTTTAGAATAATGAGTAACAAAGTAATGGCTGGGATGAACATGAATGGCAATGGTGGAAAACTGGCATTCCAAAAAAGAATTATTTATGAAATTATAACAGGTATAGAGTATAGTTCTACTTTAAGACTATTTTACATTTGACCCCAGAAAACCATTTATAATTTATGTCGATGACTCGATGTCAGTTCTAGGCTTTGCACTGTGATGATTATATTAGTCTTGTTTTGTGGATACGCGATGTATATCTGTAGTATCCCAAAGCTTTCACTCCGTAAGGCTGGGTCTTCGTTGTTGATCGAGTCTAATTTAGTACTGATGATTCGGCCTTGCAAATCGAAAGCTTTGCGATAATTAATATATGTGGTGTATCATATCACTGACAAAACTAATAATTATGTAAGATATGTTTAAAAAGCTAATGCACCTGCAATTTATTACAGTGAGTGTGCTGAAGAATCACCAAGGGATGGAGGATGATGTATACCAAGCAACCCCAAAATTATTTAAGTACGCACCAGATCGAAAAGGTGGTGGGGGAAGAAAAAACCCCGGAAGAGATCGACCTATCATAAGGATAGCCGTAAACGGACAATATCAGACATATTCTCACCACATAAATTATGGAACTTTTATGTGCATGCAACAAATATAATTTAATAATAAATTTACTTAATACCTACTTTGTTTTGTGATTTCATTTGCATCTTGCACTTTGACATCGATATTTCTAAAGTATAGTTTTGAAACTCTTGTCGAAAGAACATCGTAAGTACACGTCGATAAGCAAACGTTGGATCAACGTCAATAAATGACGTCATTTTGAAGTCCAATTATGTCGTTTCAACATCAAATTATGTCATTTCAACGTCGTCGATAAATGACGTTGAATCGACATTGTTTCAATGTCGATTTGCGTTTTCAAACCTTTTTCGACGTCGGTGGGCAACGTCATTTCGACGTTGAATCGATGTCGTTTTGCTATCTGGGGGGCTTTTTTTAAGAACTTGTCTGGGGAGGGGGCATCTACAAAAATGGACCATACTATACTGAGTGTGGAGAGATGACAGATGGTTGTTCGTTACAAAAGTTTGATGTGGTATCGTATCTACTAGGAGGGGGGTCTTGCGGTTTCCCCCCTCCCAGAAAATGTTTGTATTTTTCCACCCCTAGAACTGAAATGTGAGTAATTTTGTGAAACAGATTTTTGGATATACAGTGTTACATTGTGCTTTGATAGACTGAATCTGATCAGTTAAGTACTTGCATGGTATGTTTATGTAAATACCACAACTGGGTCACTCAGGGGGTAGCAAGCTTGTTAAACTAAGTGGGCCTCTGCTCCCACAAAATGCTACCATGGTTGGCACCAAGCAGGGAAATTTTGAAAATTTTGAGTCTCTAGATCATTGGAAATGGCATTTTCAGAGTCTTCTTTACCTCTTTGGAATTATGACTTGTGAGTCTACGCTATTTGTGATTATAGAAATCAGAACTCTAGACATGATATTTAAGTTCAAAAACTTTTGACCCCCCCCCCTTTCTCTAGGTTAAAACTGTTTTGACCCCCCTATTTATAAGGGTTAAAACTTGCCACTAGAACAAAAGGACCTATTATCGACTTGTGAAAATTGTTGTTTTAAACTTGTTGAGACACTCAAGAAATCAAAGAAAGATGTCACACTTAGGACTTGAGAACCCCAGTTATTCGGCGACAGAACACCTACGGTGTTCAATGGTTTCATCCACTCCCGCCTTCTTGAATATCAACTAGAAAATACATGCATGCAGAAACCCTCGCCTTGCTGACAAAACCGTTGTATTTTCCGGACATGAAGTATCTAAAGTAGTTGTCATGGTAACACGATAATTTTTTAAGAACATTCTTACAAATGAAAATCGCCTAAAAATATCACTTTTAATTACAAAATTATCAATTTCCCAACATATTTATGTTAGGTATGTAATTATACGTAATACAAGCTTCAATTTAAGGTAAAATTCAACCACAAACAATTCACAAAACGTTTTAAAGTGTTCTTTATAAAACTAAACTGCCTTTAACTATTAAATGGCTTTATCGATAAACTTTGAGTTTTGCAATAAAATGATTTCAAATTCTCGCTTGCAAATAACTTTGCTTTATTTTTATTTAAAAAATTCAATATAATAAAAAAGGGAATCAATATTAAAGATACACTGAAATTATATGCTGTCTTGTTTAGTTGTTTCATATACGCAAAGGCCGTCGGGTTTTAAAGCCATTATAAAATTAATATTTAAAACAAACTTACCTTTGTTAACGTCGGCTCCCTTCTTTTAGCTGATTCTTTTGCCCTTTCTTTCTTGAAATTTACAAAATCTTGCAGAAATACGAGCAAAAATGAAGAATATTTGCAAGAAATTTATCAATCATCAACTCATCAAATCAAGAAATGTCAAATGTTTGCTATTTCGCTGTCGTCATGCAGCCGTTATAATGCAAACTTTAAATTGGACCAATCAGTGTCCGCTTTTAATGACAGTCCGCCATATTTTTGAGATCAGTGAGGATGACCACCCATCGTTGGTGACCGACGCCCGCGCTCATTGATGAACTTCAGACTTCCCTAATGCTTTCGTTTCCCCGGGTGTAAATAGCTGGGGGGGAATTAGTACCCTCGCATGGCGCTTCGCGCCGCCGGCTCGGGGATGATTACCACTAAAACCACAATGCAACATGCTAAGAATTACTAATAAGGATAGCGTCTATTATACCCTAGGAAAATTCATTAGTTACATTGAAACAATGTGCCCAACGTTTAATTTTATTATTTGTCATCTGTTTTTCTTGCGAGGTGGTGTATTAAAGTCAGGTCTTAAAGGTAATTTGAAATGCCTGTTAACTATTGATAATATAATTCATATCTTTCGTATAAACCTTCGATTGTTCAACTTATATTTCTCTTTATTATGTTAACCAACCATAAAAACAATAAGTTTTATATCCCTTTATCTGTATAAAATACGATTCACAGCTCCATAACTACAACAACAACAAGAGAGTTCACATGTTCTCAATTAACCAATCATGTTAAGCTATTTCTATAATTATGTTAAATTATTACTGTTTCCACTTAATGTTAGAAATTTCAGTTTTCCTACTCAAATTCGTACACTCTCCCCATTGGCCGGTGTGTTCTATTCGTCCTTGAAATACTGGCCAATCCGGTCATTAGCAATAACTGCTGCAGCCCTCCTGGGCATTGCTCGTTCAAACGTACCAGTCTTATCTTTGTCTCTGTGTGCTGACTTTACCTTGTCTTCATCCGTATTTGCGCACCGTATCTCCAATGGATAGAGTTTCTGTAAAGGCCTGTCGATTACATTTATCTTACTGTTTTTCATGTGAAAAACTCAAGCACCTCTAATGTTACCGTCTCTGCCCGTCACGAGTCTCTCGACCTTGCCCATCGACCACAATCCTCGTTGCAACTGCGACTCATCACGAATCGACACAATATCTCCGACTTGAACAGGTGACATTCTAGTACTGCCCTTTTTCGGACGATGAAACTCATGAAGGTCAACAAGGTACTCGCGCTTCCACCATTGCCAAAAATGTTGAATTTTCTTTGCGAGGTACGTTGCACATCTTTGAACTGCTACTTTACTGCTTTCACCGTCACAGTCTTCTCAAACTACACAGTCAGGTAAATTCAACAGTCTACACCCGATAATAAGATGTGCGGGTGTGATAGCTTCTTCAATGTCATCGCTGTAGGAGTATGTCATGATAGTTCATCAAACGATAAGTGCGATTTTCCGAGCACTTTCTTTAAGCACGTTTTAACTCCCTTGACCATACACTCCTTCCCCACCAGGGGGATTTTGCAAGATTGAATCCCCATTCAATACCTTTGTTGACCAGAAAGTTCTTAACCTCGGGTATGTTGAATAGTCTTTGAAGCGTTTTCTTGGCTGACTTGAACGTTTTGGCGTTAATCGAGACTATAAGCCGAGGAAGCCCGCAATGACTGACAAATCGTCTGGGACACAACATGAATGTTTTTGCTTCGAGGTTTGGAACAAGTTCCAAATGTACAGGTAATCTTAATAATTTCTTTCGCCGTTGTTCCAAGACCTTGCATAGAGTGAACCTGCAAAGTCCACCCTATGCAACTAAAGGCGTATTCTTCATGAACACGAACTGACAGAAGATACGGTGATTCTGGAACTGGACAATGTCTCCCTTGAAGTCTTTTACAGACACAACACTTAAAGAGTACAGACTTAACCGTCTGTCGCCCCTTTGTGATCCAGATTCTTCGAACCGCACTTCGGCTAGTAAAATATCTAAATGGCCATCCTGCCACGGATCACTGATTAAGCATTGGGGAAAAGGAAGGTCCATTGTTTCCAAATGAAACAAGGAAATGGATCCGCAGCAGAAAGCCACAAGGATGGGAAACAGAAGGGTGGGCGTTTTTACAACACACAAGAGTAAACAATACCCTGACGCAGCCCCCTCCTTCTCGCCCCCCCCCCCTTCTCCGGTCCTAATTTCTTTATCTTGCACTTTCTCTCTCTTGGCAATCAGCACAGAGAGAGCAGTTACAACCTGTAAACTAGGGTTTTATGCATTGTACATCATTATTTATTCATAAAACAACGTTAATTACTCAAATTCCATTAGTTAATCAGCTTCCGCGGCGTGTTTGGCCAATTTGAATAGTAAAATATCCAAATGGCCATCCCGCCACGGATCACTGATTAAGCATTGGGGGAAAGGAAGGTCCATTGTTTCCAAATGAAGCACGGTAATGAATTCCTCCGCAGTTCAGTTACTATATATATTACTACATCTCCCCCCATATACCCAAACCCTCATTCTCATATACCCAAACCCCCATTCTCATATACCAAACCCCCATTCTCATATACCCAAACTCCCATTCTCATATACCCAAGCCGTCATTCTCATATACCAAACCCCCCTGCTCAAATACCCTACAACCCCGCCGATTCGCATGTGCCACACACACAAACCAAACTATAATCTATTAAGCAAACAAACCGGCAATGGACAGTATGAAAAAAATGCAAGTGAAAAGCGATGGGTGGACTAGCATGGTCAAGCGACAATGAACGCAGAGAATAACCCGGAACTGATGCCACAGGTCTGGTCCCCGGGAGAAACTTCCACCCAATAACTCGCTTCTTAAGACGCTCAGAAGCTGCTAACGGAACAAAGTTTAGCGAGTGGCGAGAGAAAAGATGAACAGAGAAGTAAATCCCCAAAGCACCCCCCGGAAGGACCAGAAAAGGGCAACAGTCCTGGCACAACTGCTAGAGTCGAACACAAAGAGCTTTAGATAGCCCTGGGAAAGCTGACCCCCACCAGCCAAGAAGAGAAAAAAGAACCCAAGAAATGCAAACGAAAACCAGCTAACGAGCGCAAACACAAAATCAGTACTTTCATACACACTCGAAAAACATATATTGCCCAAGAATTGGGTGATTCGAGTATGGCAAGGAAGGTATACTGTTCTGAATCGCCAAAACATTGGCCCTTGTCTGTCCAATCCAAATGCAGTAAGCGTGTGTGCTCGGTCTCAAGCAATCATGTATTGCGAGATGCACCTCTTGCATTTGCAATGTTCGTGCTCAATCCCAAGCAATCATGGATTGGGTCTGTTGGGAGATGCATTTCTCTGTTAGCCCAAACATATGAGCAACTGACCACTAAACAAATTCCGTAACTGTGAGACGCCGCTCCCGCGCATGCACTAAACTCATTGACAAATTATTTCCAAATTCCAATTCAATGACTGCCATGGTTGGTCCCAAGCAATCATGTATTGTAAAATGCAAGCCTCTCATTCGCAAAACCCTGAACCTGTTTTTTCCAATCCTAAGTCAGTAGCGACTCTTCCTCGGTCACAAGCAATCATAAAATTGCGAGATGCCCTTCTCGTATACGGCAAACACATTTAGTTTAATTTGCCTTAAATCCAAATTCGGTAGCTACTCGTGCTCGGTCTCCAGCAATCATACAATTGCGAGACGCAATGCTCTTACACACCAAACACATTGACCACTATGACTTAAATCCAAATGCAGTAGCTAATTGTGCTCAGTCACTCAAGCAATAATGGATTGTGAGATGCAATTCTCGCATACGCGAAACACATGAGCCTTTCCGTTCAATCCCAAGTCAATGCTACTTGTGCTCGGTCACAAGCAATCATACAATTGCGAGATGCACTTTTCGTATACGGCAAACACATTGTCATTGGCCACATTGCCTTAAATCCAAATGCACTGAGCTAATCATGCTGGGTTTCAAGCACACCTGCATTGGAAGATGCACATTGATGATACGCCAAACACATTGGTCACGGTACCTTAAAACCAAATTCAGTAACGAATCGTGCTCGGTTGCAAGTAATCATGCATTGCAAAATGCACCTCTCTCATACGCCAAACACATTGGCAATTTTGTTGAAAATCCAAATGCAATAGCTACCCGTGCTCGGTCGCAAACACTGATCATGCTGACATTGCTAGATGCACCTCTCTCATACGCCAAACACATTAGGAAATTTATTTAAAATCCCAATTCAGTAGCGACTGGTGGTCGGTCTCGAGCAATCTAACATTGCAAGATGCACGTCTCTCATATGCCAAACACATTGGCAACTTTGTTTAAAATCCAAATTCAGTAGCTCATTGTGGTCGGTCTCAAGCAATCTGGCATTGTGAGAGGCACTTCTCTCATACGCGAAACCCATTGGCAACTTTGTTCAAAATCCAAATTCAGTAGCTACTCGTGCTCGGTCTAAAGCAATCTAGCATTGCGAGATGCACTTCTCTCATACGCCAAACACATTGGCAACTTTGTTTAAAATCCAAATTCAGTAGCTCATCGTGCTCGGTCTCAAGCAATCTGGCATTGCGAGATGCACTTCTCTCATACGCCAAACCCATTGGCAACTTCATTTAAAATCCAAATTCAGTAGCTACCCGTGCTTGGTCTCAAGCAATCTAGCATTGCGAGATGCACGTCTCTCATACACCAAACCCATTGGCAACTTTGTTTAAAATCCAAATTCAATAGCTACTCGTGCTAGGTCTCAAGCAATCTAGCATTGCAAAATGCACTTTTCTCGTACGGCAAACACATTGACAACTTTGTTTAAAATCCAAGTCAGTATGTACCCGTGCACGGTGTCAAGCAATCTGGCATTGCGAGATGCACTTCTCGCATACGCCAACCCATTGGCAACTTTGTTTAAAATCCAAATTCAGTAGCTACCCGTGCGCGGTCCCAAGCAACCACGCATTGCGAGATGCACCCCTCTCATACGCCGTTTTAAACAACCTTGTTTAAAATCCAAATTCAGTTGTGATATACAAGTGCTCGCGGTCTCAAGAAATTATGTACTTGCGAGATGCACTTCTCTTACATGCCAAACACATTGGCAACGTTGGTTAAAATCCAAATTAAGTAGCAACTCGGGCTCGGTCGCAAGCTATCATGCAATTGCGAGGGAAACTTCTCTTACGCCAAACACATTGGCAACTCCTAAATCCATAGTAGGATTTGTGCTCGGTCGCAAGCAAGCAATTATGCATTGCGAGATGCCCTTCGGCCATACGGCAAACCCAGTGGTCCTCTTTCGCCCAAGCAAATGTAATAAACTACGGAAGCTCGGAATGAAGCAATACCATACGAAAACACAATACCCAATAACCATTTTATTAAAGGCGAAAGGTAATCACTATAGCCTAGCTATTTTGCTTTTCAACAATTTAATCTTGCAAAATACACGACCCGCTCGCATAGAACATTAACAAAATTAACAATGCTAAAACCAGACGGTAATCATTCATGCATCGCAATCTCAACTGAACTAAAATAACCGAAAGCAAACTTGACGGTAAATAACCCCGCACAAGGATGGAAATACACATCAAATGAAGATATAATGTATAACATACAACAGAACTGTAACTAAAACCACAAGTGTAAGCAATCCTTAAACACACACAGAAAAGAGGTGGCCATATTTTCCGATCAGCCGCCCACGAGTGAACCATACATGCATGCGTTATACAACGAAAAACTTCACCACACAGATCATATACTGCTAACAAAACGATATAACTACCCAAAGGGCAAAAATCTTAACTAGACCCGCACAAAAACACTACAATATAAATAAAAGAATCACGTCCAAGTCCAAGTTTGATGCCTGAAGCTGTTCATTTTCAATTGGATCAATCACCGGCGAAACTGGTTCATTCTGAGGCGGAGCAGAATCAAGATCAATCGGGTAGGCAACAGCATTAAGTCACAAGTACTGCTTCTTGTAACATGCAAGGAGGTCGAACAGGCGTGGAGCCATACTGTAAAGTCCGTAAATTTCTTTATCTTGCACTTCTCTGTCTTGGCGATCAGCACAGAAAGAGCAGTTACAACCTGTAAACTAGGGTTTTATGCATTGTACGTCATTATTTATTCATAAAACAACGTTAATTACTCAAATTCCTTTAGTTAATCAGCTTCCGCAGCATGTTTGGCCAATTTGAATAGTGTTTCCTTCAAGCCATTATGAAGGACACGTTCATGACAATATCGTACAATCAGAGTAGTGAGCTAATGATGACAAGGCAATAAAGCGTGGAATCTGGTAATGTATGGGAGTTCTAGGTGAGCCAGTGTTATATGGTTTCCTTTGAACGCGATTTATAAACCTCAATACATATGCTGTAATTCGCAAGAGTTTGTGGAATCTAGATACACGGTTTAGGATCAAGCAGGTATGTTAAATTTACTTGGGTATTCACCAAGCTTGTAGCTGATAGACTACCTCAATTTAACTTTAGTTCTTGATTGCATTTGTCTGAAGGTTGGGAAAGAGGTTTAGAAGCTGGCCATTCACCTTCATCGCAAACCAACCACGAAGGACCATGAAACCAAGTGTCGCTAGTCTGTAATTGCGATGCCTTTGCTCCCCACGAAGGAATGTCTGCTGGGTTATCCCTTCCGGGAGTGTGAAACCAACATTCTACTGGCACTAAACTACGAATTTCATTGATTCGGTTTTCCACAAATGTCTTCCATTCCTTTTCTTTCCCTTGAATCCAAAACAATGCTGTGATCGAGTCTGTCCGGCATTTTATTATGTCAATACCGATTACCGATTGAAGCGCTGATGTAACCTTAGCCATTAACCGTGCAAGGATTAAAGCAGATAATAGTTCAAGTCTTGGTATTGAAGTCTGGGAAAGTGGAGCTACTCTTGTCCTTCGACATAACTAATGAACTGCAGATATCAACCTCGGTCTCTACTCTCAAATAGACAACAGCTGCATAACAGACACACAAACTGTCACAAAATCCATGCAACTGATAAGAAATAGAACTGTCTGACGAGTTACTCAAGTAACACCGTGGAATTTCAATGTATCCAACCTTGTTCAATTCATTGCAACACCTTTGCCACTTATGATACAACAGTTCGGATAAAGGTTCGTCCCAGCCCAATTTGCTTTCACAAAGTTCTTGGAATAAAACCTTCATCTCAGTAAATACAGGGGTAAGAACACCCAACAGGTTGAACATGTTGGCAATGATCTTTAAAATACTTTGTTTACTAGAAGGCAATTCACTCACTAGTTTGATTATGTCATCAAACTGGAAAACGAATGTGACCACACAACAAAACCAATATATGACTTCCTTAGGATTATCACTGTTTGTATCATCAATCCACAGAAACCGAAGAACATCTCGATCTGCAGGTAACGCAGAGACCATTGAGAAAGCTCTCTCAATGTCTGCAATCAGGGCCACCTTGTCCACCATCTCATTAACTCATCAGCTAACTTTGGCAGAAGGCATGGGCCTTTATACAAGCATTCGTTTAGATGGATTGTTATTAACTTTCGCTGACGCGTTCAAAACAATCCTGAGCTTTGTGGTATTATTATCATGTCTGATAACAGGATGGTGAGGAATATAATGTATCATGCCAACTGTTGATGCACCACTTGGGTTGACTTCTTCAATGATTCCCATTTTGAGCTGATCTTTGATTACACCATCATATTCTTCAATAGTTTTCTGTGCCTTTAGCTTGCCTACCAAGAATCCGAGACATTGCCTACATAGCTGGTAGTTGTCTGGGGGTGTGTCATGAGATGGTTTCCCTGGCAACTTCACCTCATAGTTGGCCATCTGTGAAGTCAACATCATTTTTGAATTGATCTTGTATGCTCTCTTCTGATGAGGAAATCCAGATTGCTTTGAGGTCCCAAAATTGACGTAGTTACTTCTCCAGACATTTGTCTCCAGGATGGATGGTAGCCATTTCATTGCTTACTCAAAAAACATGTGTGCTGGTTAAATTAATGGTGAGCAAATTGTCGATATAGCAAATGCATTAAGCTGAACAATATGATTGGAGTCTTCTCCTTTCACCGTGAGTTGCACAAGATTGTGCATTTGAAGCTGACCAACACTTGAACCAAACGTTTTTATCATGAGAGTTTCTTTCTTAATTGTTGGTAGATTTAATGATTCTTTGATGTGACGGGTAACATATGACCTCTGACTATCGCTGTCAAAAATTATTGTTGCTTGAATGGATTTCTCTGGGTCTTCACTATTGATAACAGTTGCTATGGCAGTTTGTAATAACAGATGTCTTCATTTCAGTGAACACATAGGTAGCTGTTGTTTCTTTAGCACCGTCCACAGGTAGCTTCCCACCACCCTTATTTTGCTCTTGTTTTAAAGCAAGTCCTAAGACTAGATCAATATACTTCACCAGGTATCCAGTATTATCATGCAAGCAAAATAAAGCAATATGGACTAATTTACTCATGACTTATTAATGAGTTTGAGATGTTATTCCAAATCTTCCATCCAATTTGGACTGGATTTCAAGTCCTTGCAATTTGACCCAGCCTTCTAGGACTGGACCAAATTGCCTTGGACTGGATCAAATTGCACATACTTGAAATCTAGTCCAGTCCTTGTAAGTCGGATTTAAATATTATATATTGAGAACATTTTGCAATACAAATCCTTTGAACATAAAGTGCATATCCGCATTTGACATCATTAACCCTTTGAGTGGCAATGGGCCCTACTTTATTATTTTACTCTGCCTAACGCCAGACGATTTTACTCATAAGGGGAGAGTGCTGCCACTCAATGGGTTAATTAAAAAAGGTATATTGAGAAACAATGGGTAAACCTATTATAGTGAAGTTGAAAGATGTTGTAAATGCACAACTCCTTTCTAGGTAAATATGTATATTATATATCAAAGTTTATAGATATTGTTTTACTATATATAACTGTGTAAATATTTATGATTATTAGAGTATTACAAATAATATATGTACAGGTATATGCATATGCATGCCTGGAAAATGTTATTCTTATGACAATGTCCAAAAGCAATGCAATTTTAAAACTTTTATGTGACTAAATCCCATACAATTTTAATTACAAAGGTAATGCTGAAGTGCATTAACACCCAACTTCTTCCTTGATAATTAAAATTGTCTGGGATTAGACACACTACAAAAGTAAAGTGCATTACATTAGGGCACATCACAGTTCAATGTGTTAATTTTTGAAAAGGATATGATTGAAGGTATGAATGTATACAATTTTGTAAACCAAAATCATTTTATAACTATTACATGGACTTCACATCTGTATGTGTGGATATATTCAAGTTAAAGATCCCCAATGCAACATACAGTGTACACTTAATATACAATAACCCTAATCAACTAACATTTGAAATAGACTACTGTTACCAGAATCGTTTGACTCAGTGCCAGACATGTCATTGCAGTCGTCTGTTATGTCATCAGCATTCACATTAAGACTTTCAAACATGTTATTAAATGACAAGTCCTCTCTGAGTTCATTCCACATACACAGAATTGATCGATTCATCAAGCATGGAAATGTTTTCAGTACTTAAATCTGCATCTGAACATTCGTATTCAATATCACCAAGAACGTCTGCAATTACTTCAAGTATGACACAGGCATACTGATGTCGCCAAATTTATTGGTGTTCAAGAAGCAAAATAATAAGTGACAATTGTTTGCCACTTGCTTAATATGAAATTTGTGAAATTCCATCAACACATTTGGACATGAAACATATTTCTTGGCATCTAGTCTGTTAGCCAACTTTTTTTGGAATTCCAACAACCTCTATATAAGTTCTTGCTTATGGTGCTCATTAACATGTCGAGTTTGTGGGTTATCTTCAGTACAGTTGCCATCAGCCTCGTACCCAGGCGCAATTAACTAAAAATAGGCACACTACAGTACTTTTATATAGATCAGTGGCTAAGATGAGCAAGCGCCAAAGAAATATTAGACCTAGAATGCGTGCTTGGTCACATGACCGGTGTCCAAATTGAAAACAAAAATGCCCTTATAAATCCGCCATGTTGAATTTGTCCAAGGAGCGGTGTACGCGTTGCCCGGCACTGACAACACAGACAACACAAGGCGCCAAAAACAAAATTGTAATATGGAAAAAAAATATAAACTTTTCTTATTTCTGTTATTCTGTGTAATTACTATGTAAAGGCTAAAGATGCCTAATTCTTGCTCTGCTTACAAATGTAAAGAAAGATACAAAAAGGAGGAAAAAGAGAACGCGGAAGTTCAGCAGTCGTTTTTCAGGTGAGTCGGAAAGTCAAAACAATGGTTTCCGTTTTAGCACTTCCGGCGCTTATGTTCCGCATATATTAATACTACAAAACAATTGCATAAACAAGTTTACATTTAAAATTAAAGTGTTTTAATAGTGTCAATGTTTTATGGAGGTTTTTTTACGAATAAACATCATCCTTCATATTTTTTACTTACTGATATAGTCACTGTCTTACGTAGAAATACATATAATAGTTGGCAGTGAACGATACGGCAAAGATTGAAGTATTGAACGATTTGGCTATAATATATTATCGTTTCTGTACACTTTATAAAACAGAATCGTTTCTGTACACTTTATAAAACAGAATGGTTTCTTCATTTATAATTTTAACAGGTTTCCTCATCATAATGAAGAACTCCTGAGCGAATGGGTTGCAGCTGTTGGGAGAAACAATTGGTATCCATCAAAAACATCAGTTCTCTGTGGAAACCATTTTCTTGAAAATGATTTTGTGCTGGGTTCCTACTCAGACTCTAGTTTAAAAAAAAGTTTTTAAAAAAGGGAGCAATTCCAAGTGTTTTCAGCATTCCTGCTCCATCACTGAGTAAAAAAGAGCAAACAACACATGAAATTCCAGCACGAAAATGGCTGGTTGCTAGTGAAATCGACAACATATCATAGCTACTAATTCGGCTTCGTCGGCGTCATTTTTTAACACTAGTCGAGAGGTCCCTTCATGTAAAGTTTTCAAGCCTGCCATGTCGCCCTCTACAAAAATAAAAAAATTACAGCTACTTGTGAAGAAAAAGAACAAAAAAATTAAGCAACTCCAACGAAAAAATTTGCGAAAAGAGAAGACCATTACAGGTCTGATTACTTAGCTAAATAAACAAAAAGTTCCTTCAAAAGAGCTCGGCGAGAAACTCGATAAAAATTTTGGGCATTTAAAATTGTACAAAAATGAGCTAAAAAACCATGCAAGAAAGGCTGGTTCACATTACAGCCAAGAAATGAAGGAATTTGCAGTATCTTTGCATTTTTATAGTGCAAAAGCTTATAATTTTGTACGCAAATCACTCCGCTTGCCACATCCGGCTACGCTTAGGTCATGGGCAGCAGATGTTGCTTGTGAACCAGGATTTTTGACGGCTACAATAAATAGTCTTGCTGGGAAATTTGCTTTAGATGGCGAGTCTGAATGTGGCCTGATTTTGGATGAAATGTCCATCCGAAAAGAAACGCTTTGGGACAGAAAAAACAACAAATTTGTTGGGAATATTGATTACGGCAAAACTCAAGGCAAAGATCCTGATAACATCGCCACTAATGTGTTAGTAATTATGGCTGCAGGACTTAAAAAATCTTGGCAAATGCCAATTGGGTATTTTTTAACAAATAAAACTACTAGTGCTATGCAGTCCCAACTAGTATTAGAAGCCAAAAAATTACTGTACAACAAAGCAGACATAATTGTTAAATCTGTAACGTTTGATGGGCCAACTAAAAATATTAGCACAGCTAAAAAACTTGGCTGTGACATCAAAAATTTGAAAGGGTCATTTCCTCACCCCTGTCGACCAGATCTAATGGTTTATGTTGTATTAGATATTTGCCACATGATAAAGTTAGCACGAAATGCTTTGGGCGATTTAAAAATCTTCAAAACACCCACAGGAGAAACAATTTCATGGGGTTTTGTTGAAGCTTTGTATGAAATCCAGCAACAAGACATATTGCACCTGGCTAACAAGTTAAAAACAAAGTATATCCAGTGGCACAAGCACAAAATGAAAGTTAGTGTTGCTACCCAAACTTTAAGTGCATCTGTGGCAGCTGCCATAACATTTTCCCCGAGCCAACGGCGCGAAGCGCCGTGCGAGGGTACTAATTCCCCCCGGCTATTTACACCCGGGGAAGGGAAGCATTAGCGAAGTCTAAAGTTCATCAAATATCGCGGGCGTGGGTCACTGTGCGTGTTTCGGTGGGTGGTCATCCTCACTGATCTCATAATATAGCGGGCTGTAATGAATAGCCAACAATGATTGGTGCATGACGATTGACGACAGCGAAATTGATTTCATGATTTCTTGCAAATATATTTCATTTTTGCAAGATTTTGTAAATTGCAAATGATTTTTGATGAAATAAAGGCAAGAGGATTGCTAAAAGAAGGAAGTAAAGGTGCCGACGTTAACGAAGGTAAGTTTGTTTTAAATATTGATGCATTGTTTGCTCTTAATATCCTGTAATCTCGGCTGTAATTACTTTAAAAGCCGATCGTTGCGTATATAAAATATGAAACAAGACAGCGTATTATTTCAGTGTTTCTTTAATATTGATTACACTTTTTATTATACTAAGCAAAGTTATTTACATGGGAGAATTTGGAATGATTTTATTTCGAACTCAAAGTTTATCGATAAAGGCAGTTTAGTTCTATATTAAAAGAAGACTTTCAAACGTTTTGCGAAGCGTTTGTGGTTGAAATTTACCTTAAATTGAAGCTTATATTGCGTATAATAACATACCTACTGTAATTACTTTAAAAGCCGATCGTTGTGTATAAATATGAAACAAGACAGCGTATTATTTCAGTGTTTCTTTGTTGATTACACTTTTTTATTATACTAAGCAAGGTTATTTGCATGGGAGAATTTGGAATCATTTTATTTCGAACTCAAAGTTTATCGATAAAGGCAGTTTAGTTCTATAGTAAAAGAACAATTTTTAAAACTTTTGCGAAGCGTTTGTGGTTGAATTTTACCTTAAATTCAAGCTTATTACGTATAATAACATACCTAACATATATATGTTTAGGAAATTGATAATTTTGTAATTAAAGGTGATATTTGTAGGGGATTTTTCATTTGTAAAAATATTCTTAAAAAATTATTGTGTTACCATGACAACTACTTAAAGTACTTCACGTTCGGAAAATAAAATGGTTTTGTCAGCAAGGCGAGGGTTTCTGCATGCATGTATTTTCTAGTTACGAAATATTAAGGTCGAACATTTCATGGGCAGTAAAGCAACAAGTGATTTCATACTTTTGATGAACAATCTTTTTGATATTTTAAATTCCAAAAGCAAATTTGGAAAGCAGTATAAGGCACCAATTAACCTAGAAAACTATGCAAATATTGAAAAGTATTTACAAGATGGCATTGCAATTTTGAAAACGCTCAAAACTCTGGATGGAGTAGAAGTAGTTAATGGTCCAAGGAAAACCTTTATTCAAGGTTTTGCAATATCAGCGGACTCAATCCTTGCTATCAGTAAGAGCTTTTGCATAGAGCCAACCTTCCGTATAACTATGTTCTTACATACCGATTTTCACAAGATCCACTCGAAATGTTTTTCAGTAAAATAAGAAGCCGGTTAGGGTGGAATAATAATCCCAATGCATTGCAATTTAAATATGCATTGAGGTCTTTGCTATTAAGAAACAACATTGAGTGTCCTACAACAGCAAACTGTGTGGCAACTACAGAAGAGCAATCAGACTTACCTGACCAGTCTGACCACCAAGATGCTCAAATTTCTGAGATGTTGCAAACATCAACTGCATGGTGGTATGATGTTCTATTTTACATATCTGGCTACATAGCACGAAAGTTGTTGAAGATTATAAAGTGCCCTGAGTGTGCTGAAACATTATATCAACCAACTGATGTAGCACACGACCATCTCAAACTCATTAATAATTCATGAGCAAATTAGCGAATGAACTCACCCTAATTCGTCACATGATTGAGGTTGGATACCGCAGGAAACACGCTAACAATCATATACCATCACTGTTGTTAGATGAAAAACGGTTTTCATCTAATAACTGAGATCCAAACACAACAATATACTATAATAATATATATAAGCCAATGAAATGTTTTCGTTTGAGATGTTGTGTAAACAACTCGTTTCTCGTGTTTCATCAGGGGACCAAACACTCAAAAACAATAAAACACTCGCGCTTCGCGCTCGTGTTTCATACAGTTTTCTCGTGTTTGGATCCCCTGATGAAACACTCAAACTCGTTGTTTACATAACATCAATATCACCACAATATTACGCTCCTATCCTGCAAACGTTATGGCAAGTTGTTGGTTCCATCCTTGTCTGTTGTAAAAGTGGTTACAACAACTGATATATTGGCAAGACAAGTTCTTTGTTCCTGGACAACTCTAAGCAAAGATAAAAAAGAGAAGATCTGTTTAGATGTATGAAAAGAAACGAAATTAAACACCTTTCAGGATATTCTCCAGCACTCACAACAAGGTCATGTCCTTGATGACAACTTAAGGGATGATCACATTACTATTTTGATTAAGTATATTGCCAATTTGTATTTACAATTGTTTCTGTACCAGTTTGGAAAGGTTTACACTGAACGCATTGTTAAGGAAAATAAGGCATCAAAGCGACATGCACTCACAAAGCAAATTCTTTTCTATAATGAGTAAAACTTCAGGCAGAGTTCCCAAACTAGGGCTGTGTTTCACAGCAAGTTAACGCCGAGTGCTGGGCGGCGGTTAAATAACCTGGCCACCCAGAAGTTTCAACTTTTGGTTGGGTTCATGGTTTCCTAGATGGAGGAAATGCCATCTGAAAACCAGGGAACAATGCAATTCATAAAATTTGTTAGTGTATATACTATTTAATTAATTATTTAACAGTTTTATTGTTGTAAATACAGTAATTAATTTATTGAAATAAATGTTAGTTTGATTGATGGAGTACTTGTTTTACTATTTAGCAGGCAACCTTTCAGTACATTGAATGCGAGATTGATATGTTTCAAAACTGTTCTCCTTTATAAATTACAAAACTTTTGAACACGTTCCAAAAATATTTCAAGCCCAAGTATTAATACAATACTACAAATATCAATTTGCTTCAGTGTTAAAAATTAAATCCACACTTGGATTTTGGGATGAGTATTCAAAAAGCAGGTGAGTAGCAAGACTTACCATTTATAAAGATGAACTGATCGGCTTTAAATTGAAAGAAATCTGAAAGCCCCATCAGACCAATCACCCATACTTGCCATGTGAGCGTGTTCAAGTTCTTCGGCGATCAAGAGTATCGAGTATACAAATCTGTCTTTTTGTTTTGAAATTACACGTCTATGCAACAAAAACCTTTCGTGCACACAAATATACATAAATTTCCACTAATCTAGTATAAAAGGTAAATGAACAAAAGTTGTTCATATTGAATATTGACAGAAATACAGTATCAACCAAAACATTGCGCGATTTGCAAAAGGTCATGGGGCGAGATTAAATTTGCCCTTATAAATCGGCCATTTTGAATAGTTAATGTGGCATCACTTGTTTACCTGAGAAGAGATAGGAGCACGCATTCTATGTCTATTATTTCTATGGCGAGCGCGCGGGGGTGCTTGGGGAGGACGCAACTGGAACCGGAGGCACCTGGGAGAATTTGTTCGATAAGTGACAAGAAATTGTCGATTTCTGAAATTTAGTTTAGAAATGTAGTTTTTTAAGCGTTTTTGTGCATTTTGTGCCCAATTTCCGTGACAATATGGACCAGACGGAGTAAAGACAGCCATATGAAGGTAATCTTTTTCTTTAAACATACTTAATAGGTGCTTTTTAACCTTTATTTGAATTAATATACTGACTGACAGACTGAGTCTGTTATATGAGTCATTTTTAATATGATATACCTGTGTTATAATAGAATTGATATTATAAACAAAAGGATTTTAGTTAAATATTATTTACATTATTTTATATGATGTAAATAGCGATATATATTGTTATATAAATCTGTTCAGTGTTGAATGCTGTTATATTTGTCTCTTTGGACTTTGGTTCATGCAATAACAATGTCAAAGCTAATTTTATATAAATTGCAATAGCAGCAAATTGCCACAACAAAATATTTGCTGTATCACCTGTATGCGTTTTTAAAACAACTATCAAATCTTCTTTTGATAGCATCAGTAAGTTCTGATGATATATTTAATGCATCCTTTTCCCAACTTGATTTTGAAGAAGGTATTGTCTACTTATGTAGTTTAAGTTCCTAAGTCAGCAGACATTTGAATGCATCATGCATCACATTTTTGGTGATCTGAAGCATTATAATATAGTAAATTTATGAATTAATGACTAATGAGTAATAGAAATGTTGTTAATTTATTATGTTGTTAGATAGTGATGTCCCCATTGCCACTGAAGCAGATTATGAGATGGAAAACTATGGCGAGATTGAAAAATCTAGCAGTTTATCAAGTGGTCTTGAACTGACAATTGCACCACACCATAGCCCTAGTAGGGGGCAGTGAAATCAGCACCACCACCAGCACACCACCATAGCCCTAGTAGGGGGCAGTGAAACTTAATGGGCAAAGTTGTTAATTTGCAAAGTTTAATGTGCCTAGCTTGTTTAGACGTTAAGATGTGGATGCAGACCTGCCAACCTCCAAGAGCAACAAATCTGGAGATCTGATCGAAAGTTTCTTGAGATTGACCCTTAATTCTGGAGATAAAATACTGAAAATCTGGGGTAATTCTGGATAAGACAATTACTGTAATGATTGCCTGCAGATGACTGACCTATGTTCGTGACATAGTAATTTTTAATTACTGTCCTCCAAAATAAAACTTTAACTCAACAGTTTACTTACTAAAACGGTACAATAATGGAGCATACCGCTTAGATTATTCAAAATGACGGAGTAGTTAGACTACTTTAGGAATGAGTAAATAAATTGTGTTGGGGATTTTTTACAAATTAGAATTACCGTCAATGGCTAGTTTTATTTCACTTCAATCACTCCAATTTTAAAGTCTAGTGGTGGTTAAAATTTCAAAGTCGTGAATCCGTGAGATTTGAAAATGTTTCCGTGAGTCTGTGAGATAATGCCTGAATTTGTGTGTCACACGGGAAATCCGTGAGAGTTGGCAGGTCTGTGGATGAGTGTATAAATAAAGGCCCACAAGAGTATTAAATTGCATAAATATTGCCATACAGCCATAGCTCTAGATCTTTTTTAATGTAAATACTAGTAGTTTATATTATGAGCAAAATAAATAAAATTCTCAACATTTTAGGTTATATGTTCCAGGGGTTGTTTGCATAGTATGTTGATGAGGTATACCTCATTTAGTCAAGTTGTGTAAAACATTCATGAGGATTTAGGAGCAAGCGCAGAGACAACTGGGATAGGTCTTGTGTTTACACTACAGTCACTACAAACCTACACCTGTCCAAGCTGTTTACTGGCACTTACCTTGAGTGACCTGAGAATGATTTCAGGTAAAGCATTTGTGTGTATAAACATGTTTGGATTGTTTAATCCCAAGACCAATTTCCATGGCAACATGGTAAATCATGTGTGTATATGTATGGTACATGTATGGGTGTATTTTTGTGTGTTTATACACCATACTTTGCCGGGCTGATTTTAGATTTTGCTGACTGTTGACAAATATTTTCAGTGAGACCATCAAATGATGTTTGCCACATATTTTTCAAATGTCATTGATTTTTAAATATCAATACTATCTGTACTGTAATCAGCCCAACAAATTGCAATGTGCAACCATGCCTTTAAATTGTCCAATTTGTTAGACTATGTCTGTAACTGGTATCAAATGCATTGTATGAGCCAGAGGCAAGTCCAGAGTATACCCCATTCCTTAGTGTAAACATAGTATATTTTGGCAATCAAGGGCAATAGCCTTCATAGTTCAAAACTCAAAAGTAAGGTGAATCACAAACATCAACAGGTGAACCATACATGAGATTAGTTTGGTCTGGTTTGTCGTTTATATAATTTAATATTGTCAGCCAGTTACAACAATAGAGCTCTAAAATTTATGTTTTTATCTTCACCATATTTTGCATACTAAAAAGCTCTCATGTATTATTATTATTTATTCAAATGCATGACCTATTTACAGGTATTGCTAGAATAGAGAAAAGTATATAAAGTATAGTACATATAGAATAGATGGTATAGATAATGAAAAATAGATAACATATAAAAGGATATAGATTTACATTTTGATTTTTATATATATTGAAATTAAAGTGTTTTTTTGTTCATTTTTGCCATATATATGTATAGATACAAATATATACATGTATTGTTTATAGAGCATTCGAAATATAGTGTTAATTACGACTACGACGTGTGCAGTCATTTAAGAGGTTTCCCTTTTTTTTATACAAATTAAAATAATTTGTGTAGTAAAAATATAGACTAAGACTAATTTGTTTTTGGGTTGTTTTGGATTACCAGAGATTTGAGGCTATCTTCTCTTTCTTTTGTGCAGAGAAATAATTAATTAGAAAATAGATTTACTAAAACAGGATCGTCCGATGACATCGTGTGTTGAAGTAATTTTTGTTTAGTTTCTTTTGTTATTTTGAAATCAAACATGTTTTTGAGAATGTTGTTTGAGTTGTCTCGTAAGTGTCGGTAATTTTGGCATGCGACGGCGAAAAGAAATTCGTTTTCCACTTCGCCAGAATCGAGTTTCAATATTGTGCGAGCCAGCGAGCCATGCGAGCCATGCGAGCCAGAGTGCGAGCCATGCAACCAGGGTGCGAGCCATGGTGCGAGCCATGCGAGCCATGGTGCGAGCCATGCGAGCCAGAGTGCGAGCCATGCAACCAGGGTGCGAGCCATGCGAATCGTATTTAAAATTATTTAAAAAGCTAATTTAATTAACGAGTAAAATGGAAGACTGTATATTAGTAAAAAAATACACAAAATTCAGAAACGAACTATAAATATAATCAAGAACCCAATTTAAACTACAGGAAATATGCGAACTCATGTATTTTCCGTATTTTACAACATTTCGTAACCAAATTTTTGCAATTTTATTAATTTTAATAAGTTCTTTAATTAAAGGAATTACTTTTTTGCCTAGATAAAAAAAATAGTCTAACATGCAAGTTGTCTATTGTGTACTGACGTTTTTACAGTACGATATATACCGTACAATTCATAAATTTTTTGGTTTACTTAATAGTGTGGTTTCGAGTGCGATTTGGAAAAAAAACATGCACGAGTGTGCTTTTCAAAGACTATCAAAATCACACGAATCCAAAGGAAAACTCACGAGTGCTTGTTTTTCACGAGAAGCCATAAATACTACTTATAATAATATACATGAACTGAATAATGCTAGGTATTCCCCCATTTGATCGAATCAAGTCACGACGGAAAAAGGATTTTCCAGCCAGCTGAAAGTGGATTAAACTGTACAAGAATTCTTCTATATCAAATAAATAAGAAAAGAAGAACATTGCCAACAAAGATAATACAGTGCAAATTTCGGATATTTCGTCTGTTGGCACTGTGTTTGGAAAAAATGCACTCCTCTTAGCCTTAATCAGAATCAAGAAATTTTTCATGTATATTATTTAGCACGGAAAATATTAAATCGTCTACAAATTTCACGAAATAGCGATTAAATTTCTTTGTTCTAATGTCAATCCGGTGTCATAATGGAGTGGCATGGTTGATGGACAATACGGTCTGATGTACGAATTTCTAGGAATCTTTGTTATACACTTTTTGGCCGCACAGAAAAAAAATGTATGTGTAACCCATTGACAATGTATTGTTCTATATGGACCTTCAGTTACAACTTGAACAGCTCCATTGACCAGCTCGTTCTTGCAAACCGCGCATTTTGCACTTTTACTGGAAGATCGAACATTAACAATGTACTTCTGATTATTCACTGTTGGAATATGAGCAAGGGGAACACTATTTGGGAAACTTGCGACAAGCTTACTCCACTCAGATATGGAAAATTTCTGCTTGTACATAACTGGATCATTCCTATCAATACTAAAAACGTTATGAATAATCCAGAGTAGGTGATGACATCTTTTTCGACAATGTAAAGACGAACAGCTAGTAGAATGTTTGGATATAATTACATCTTCAAGGTATCCCATAGTGTCAAGCAACTTGAACTTAAATTCCTCCATGCTGCTATCACATTCCAAAAGATCCATTGACACATTTTCGACATGTTTTGCGAAGTATTGAAGCTGGTGTTTACTCACGGATTGTGAGGAAGTCTTCTTCGGCTGTTTGGATGTGCATTTGTTTTTATCTGATCTGTGACTGTCCCTTGTATTAACACGATAGTCGCGGTGTGCGCTTTCAATATCTGCTACGGAAGTAAACTTATTTGCCACTGAACTTGCGTTTTGAGCGATGTTTTGCACAGCAGTGGCACATGCTTCCTCATCTGTTAAGAG